TGTTTTCCGAGACTCTCTTCGCCTCTTCTACTTTCCTTTTATTCCCCTTATCTCTCCGCATCCCTTTATCTTCTCTTCTTACCCTCTCCTATTCCCCCTTTCTTCCCTCTCCTTCTCCTTACCTGTTTTCCAAGACTCTCTTCGATGTAGACCTGCTCCCTCTTCAATTATTTCTGCTTCGCCTCTTCTACTTCCTTTTCTTCCCCGCTTCCCTTTATCTTCTCTTACTCTCTCCCATTCCCCCTTTCTTCCCTTTTCCCTCTCCTCACCGTTTCCCGAGGCTTTCTTCGATGTAGACTTGCTCCCTCCTCTCTCTTCCACTTCCCTTTATTCCTTTATTCTCCCCTTATCCCTTTCTCCTCTCTTCTTACTCTCTCCCATTCCCCCCTTTCTTCCTCTCTTCCTCTCCTCACCTGTTTCCCGAGGCTCTCTTCGATGTAGACCTGCCTCCCTCCTCAATTATTTCTGCCTTCGCCTCTTCTACTTCCTTTTCTATTCCCGCTTTCCCTTATCTTCTCTTACTCTCTCCCATTCCCCCTTTCTTCCCTCTCCCTCTCCTCACCTGTTTTCCGAGGCTCTCTTCGATGTAGACTTGCTCCCTCCTCTCTCTTCCACTTCCCCATTCCCTTTATTTCCCCGTATCCCTTTCTCCTCTCTTCTTACTCTCTCCCATTCCCCCCTTTCTTCCCTCTCCCTCTCCTCACCTGTTTTCCGAGACTCTCTTCGATGTAGACCTGCTCCCTCCTCAATTATTTCTGCTTCGCCTCTTCGACTTCCTTTTCTTCCCCGCTTCCCTTTATCTTCTCTTCTTACCCTCTCCCATTCCCCCTTTACCCTCTCCCATTCCCCCTTTCTTCCCCTCCCATTCCCCCTTCTCCCTCCCTCTCCTCACCTGTTTTCCGAGGCTTTCTTCGATGTTAGACTTGCTCCCTCCTCAATTATTTTCTGCTACGCCTCTTCGACTTTCCTTTTTCTCCCGCTTCCCTTCTCCTCTCTTCCTTACTCTCTCCCATTCCCCCTTTCTTCCCTCTCCCATTCCCCTTCTTCCCTCTCCCTCTCCTCACCTGTTTTCCGAGGCTCTCTTCGATGTAGACTTGCTCCCTCCTCAATTATTTTTGCTTCGCCTTCCTCTTCTACTTCCTTTTCTTCTCCGCTTCCTTTATTCTCTTTTTCTCGTCTCCATTCCCCTCTTACCCTCTCCATTCCCCCCTTTCTTCCCTTCCCTCTCCTCACCTGTTTTCGAGGCTCTCTTCGATGTAGATTGCTCCCTCCTCAATTATTTTTGCTATCGCCTTCCTCTTTCTACTTCCTTTTATTCCCTATCTCCGATCCTTTATTTCCTTTTATCCCCCTTATTTCCCCGTATTCCTTTATTCTTCTCTCTTACCCTCCTCCCATTCCCCCTTTCTTCCTCTCCCTCTCCTCACCTGTTTTCGAGGTTTCTTCGTGTAGATTGCTCCTCTCCTCGTTCTACTTCCTTTTATCCCCTATCTCTCCGCCATCCCTTTATCTTCCTTTTATCCTTATTTCCCCGTATCCTTTCTCCTTCTCTTCTTACCCTCTCCCATTCCCCTTTTTCCTCTCCCTCTCCTCACCTGTTTTCCGAGGCTCTCTTCGATGTAGACTTGCTCCCTCCTCTCTCTTTTCCACTTCCTCCACATTCCTTTATTTCCCCGTTCCCTTTCTCCTTCTTCTTACTCTCTCCATTCCCCCTTTCTTACCCTCTCCCTCTCCTCACTGTTCCGAAGGCTTTCTTCGATGTAGACCTGCTCCCTCCTCAATTATTTCTGCTTCGCCTTCTTTCGACTTCCTTTTCTCCGCTTCCTTTATCTTCTCTTCTACCCCTTCCCATTCCCCCTTTCTTCCTCTCCCATTCCTTTCTTCCCTCTCCATTCCCCCTTTCTTCCCTCTCCTTCTCACCTGTTTTCCGAGGACTCTCTTCGATGTAGACTTTGCTCCCTCTCAATTATTTCTGCTTCGCTCTTCGATTTCCTTTTTCTCCCGCTTCCTTTATCTTTCTTCTTACCCTCTCCCATTCCCCTTTTCTTCCTCTCCTTTCCCCCTTTCTTCCCTCTCCATTCCCCCTTTTTTCCCTCTCCCTCTCCTCACCTGTTTTCCGGATCTCTTCGATGTGGACTGCTCCTCGCGGATATCGTCGGGTGGGTCGCTGGCTTTCTCGAACGCTAACAGTACCAGAAGATGTACCAGCCCAGGCCTACCATACCTGAGGGGGGGGAGGGGAGGAGATACCATTATGAGTACAGGATATGGCTGATGTACGTTTAGGGTGTTGGGGAAGGGGGGGAGGGGGGTGGGATGGAGAGAGGAGAGAGTGGGAGGGAAGGAGGGAGGGTGGAGGAATCGGGGGGGAGTGTAGGAGAGATAGAGATAGATAGATAGGAGTAGATAGATAGAGAGGGGGAGAGAGAGAGAGAGAGACAGACAGACAACAGAGAGGAGGAGAGGAGAGGAGAAAGAGAGAGAGAGAAGAGAAAAGACAGGACAGAGAGAGAGAGAGAGAGGAGAGAGAGAGAAGAGAGAGAAGAGAGAGACGACGAGAGAAAGAAGAGGAGAGAAAGAGAGAGAGAAGAGAGACGACGAGACAGACAGGACAGAAAGAGAGAGGGAAAGAAAAGAGAACAAGAAGAGAGAGAGAGAGAGAGACAGACAGACAGACAGAGAGAAGAAGAGAGATTATACTATGAATTTGTATCTTTTACAACAGAGAAAAAGCTAGTGGCATTGTTATTTACATTACTGCTATTATCTACCATCGTCACTATTATTGCTATAATTAGTAGCTTTATCATCGACGTAATGTATTTTTTTCATTGTCAATTTCATATTGTTACTACATTTGTATCATAATCAGTTAAATCAATTCTGATATCAGTATCATGTATTCACAGAAATGATACAAATACAGACATACAAAACGAGGAATAAAAACAAAAATTACAAGAAGCCAAGAAGCCACTTACCATAATAGGAATAAAAACAAAAATTACAAGAAGCCAAGAGCCATTACCATAATAGGTAAACACAAAATTACTAGAAAGCCAAAAGCCAGCTTCATAATAGGAATAAAAACAAATATCACAAGAAGCCAAGAAGCCACTTACCATAGACGTAGAAGGGCGCCGGCCACCGATGCCTGCGTGAGCCAGGCAGGAGGGGCATCCCAGCACTGCCCCGCGCGTAGCTCTCCGCAGGGGCCAGGGTGGCGAGGCGAGAGCGCTCCAGGGGCGGGGCCCAGTTCCTCCAGATGCCGTGGCAGGCGGGGTACGTGACGCCCTGGGGAGAAGGAGGTGAGGGGTTGTGTCCGTAGGGGGGCCGTGGGTGGTGGCTATGGGGGGGTGTTGGTGTGTCATGGTTGGTCACACACACACTCACACACACATGCTCTACACAGTACCACACACACATTCACACACGTACGCACACACGCTCATGCACGAGCACACACACACCACACACACCACACACACACACACACACACACACACACACACAACACACACACACACAACACACACACACACAACCACACACACACACACACAATATATATATATATATATATAATATATATATATATTATATATATATATATATATATATATATATATATATATATATATATATATGTATAATATATATATATATATATATATATATGTGTCTAGTGTGTGTGTGTGTGTGTGTGTGTTATGTGTGTGTGTGTGTGTGTGTGTGTGTGTGTGTGTGTGTGTGGTGTGTGTGTGTGTGTGTGTGTGTGTGTGTGTGTCAACGTTGTCATTATCATCTTCATTATCATTATCGTTATTGTTGTTGCTGTTGTTATTTTTTGCTGTCATTTTATTGTTTTGTTGTTGTTGTTGTCATTATTCTGATTATTTTCACTTTCATCCTTATTACTATCGTTATCATCAGTATTATTATCTACTCACTCTCTCTACACCCCCCCCCCCTCCCACCTCTTCAACCCACCCAATCCTACACCCTATTGCCCACCCCACTCCTCGTTCTTTCTGGGCTCTCTCCTCACACCTTCAACCCATCCTCAACCCCCCCTCAAGAACCTCCCACCCACCCCTTCAGTCAACCCCTTCCACCCACCTCCCCCCCTCTCCCTCCTCAATCCCCCCCCACCCCCACCCTCAAGAACCTCCCCCAACCCATCCCTTCGGTCAACCCCTCCCCCACCTTCCCCCCCTCTCCTTCCTCAATCCCCCCACCCCCCACCCTCAAGAACCTCCCCAACCCATCCCTTCGTCAACCCCTCTCCCCCCACCTTCTCCCCCCCCCCCACGTCCTCAACCCCTCCCCTCAAGAACCCCCCCACCCACCCCTTCAGTCACCCTCTCCCCCCACCTTCCCCCCTCTCCCTTCCTCAATCCCCCCCCCTCTCAAGAACCTCCCCAACCCATCCCTTCAGTCAACCCCTCTCCCCCACCTTCTCCCCCCCCACGTCCTCAACCCCCCCCCTCAAGAACCCCCCCCCCACCCATCCCTTCAGTCAGTCACCCCTCTCCCCCCACCTTCCCCCCTCTCCCTTCCTCAATCCCCTCTCAAGAACCTCCCCAACCCATCCCTTCAGTCAACCCTTACCCCCACCTTCTCCCCTCCCCCTCGTCAACCCACCTCCCAGTCAAAACCCTCTCCCCCACCTTCCACCCCCCCCCCTGAAGAACCTCCCCAACCCATCCCTTAAGTCAACCCCTCTCCCCCACTTCCCCCACCCCCACCCCACCCAGCGCCCTAACGCCCCCCCCCTCTCAGAACCCCTAACCCACCTCCCAGTGACCCCCCCACCCCACCCAGTGCCCCCAACGCCCCACGCCCACCTCTCTCACGGTGTCCTCAGCGGCCGCCTCGCTAATGCACGCCCATTGAGAGAGCGCTGGTGAGAGAACCGTCCTTGCCTGAGGCTGTTCCCGTCGACCCTTGACTTCTCGGTCCTCAGGGCGGGCTTCCCCTCTTCGTCTCTTCTCTTCTTTTCCTTCTTCTTCTTCTTCTTTTTCTCTCTTCTCTCTCTTATTCTTGCCCTCTCTGATCTTCTCTTTCTCTTCTCTTAATTTTTTCGTCCTCTCTCTTTCTCTCTTTTCTCTTTTCTCTCTCTCTCTCTCTCTCTCTCTCTCTCTCTCTCTCTCTCTCTCTCTCTCTCTCTCTCTCTCTCTCTCTCTCTCTCTCTCTCTCTCTCTCTCTCTCTCTCTCTTCTCTTTCTCTCTCTCTCTCTCTCTCTCGTGTCTTTCTCTTCTTTCTGTTTTTGTTTTTGCTTGTTTCCTTTCCTTTTCTGTTTCTCTTTTCTCTAAGACTTCGTTCTCCGTCTCTCTTTCTCCTTCTTCTCTCTTTCTCTCTATTCTCTCCTCTCTCTTTGTTCTCTCTTCTTCTCTTACTTTCGCGTCTCTGCTTTTCTTGTCGAAGATTCTCATGCCTCTCTCTTCTTTCGATTTCCGTCTTTTTTTCTCTTTCTCTTCCTTATTGTTTTTTCCGTCTCTTCTCTTTTCTCTCTCTCTCCGGCTTCCCTCTTCCCTATCTCCCCCACTTACTTCTCCTATTCCCTCTCTACCTTTCCCTCTCATTCCGCTCTCTCTCCGCACTCCCTTTTCCCTCTCTCACCCCCTTTTCTTCTTCGTGAATATTCTCTCCTCTCTCTCTCTCTCTCTCTCTCTCTCTCTCTTCTCTCTCTCTCTCTCTCTCTCTCTCTCTCTCTCTCTCTCTCTCTCTCTCTCTCTCTCTTCTCTCTCTTTCTCTCCTCTCTCTCTCTCTCTCGTGTCTTTCTCTTCTTTCTGTTTTTTGTTTTGCTTGTTTCCTTTCCTTTTCTGTTTCTCTTTTCTCTAAGACTTCGTTCTCCGTCTCTCTTTCTCCTTCTTTCTCTCTTTTCTCTCTATTCTCTCCTCTCTCTTTGTTCTCTCTTCTTCTCTTACTTTCGCGTCTCTGCTTTTCTTGTCGAAGATTCTCATGCCTCTCTCTTCTTTCGATTTCCGTCTTTTTTTTCTTTTCTCTTCCTTATTGTTTTTTCCGTCTCTCTCTTTCTCTCTTCTCTCCGGCTTCCTCTTCTCCTATCTCCCCCACTTACTTCTCCTATTCCCTCTCTATCTTTCCCTCTCATTCCGCTCTCTCTCCGCTCTCCCCTTTTCCCTCTCTCACCCCCTTTCTTCTTCGTGAATATTCTCTCCTCTCTCTCTCTCTCTCTCTCTCTCTCTCTCTCTCTCTCTCTCTCTCTCTCTCTCTCTCTCTCTCTCTCTCTCTCTCTCTCTCTCTCTCTCTCTCTCTCTCTCTCTCTCTCTCTCTCTCTCTCTCTCTCTCTCTCTCTCTCTCTCTCTCTCTCTCTCTCTCTTTCTTTTCTATTCCTTCCCCCTTTGTCATTCCTTTTCCCTTCCGCCCCATTCTCCATTAGCCACTTATCCACACTCATGATTCTTTTCTTATTTTCCTTCTCTTTATTCCATTTTCCTTCCTTTTTAAAGTGTTTCATCAAAAAGACACAAATGAATGATGATAATTACCTTTATGAATATAAAACAAATTGAGCTAAAAAGATAGAAAATTGAAAAAAAAAGTATTTTAACCAGACAAAAAAAAACAGACCATCATACAGCAACGATTAAAAATTTACATATACACACATTCGAAAATAAATAAATAGACAAATAAATAAATAAAACAAACCAAGAAAAGAAAAAAACGAAAAAAATATCGATGCTCAAAGTCTCCCTCTTCTTTTTTCTCTTCTTTTTTTTCCCCCTTTCTCTCTCTCTCTCTCCCCTCTCCTCTCTCTCTTTTTTTTTTTTTCTTTTTTTTTTTTTGAAAGCTAACCGGTGTGATGGCGAGCGAAGCCAGGCTGAAAAACGCGTCTTTGAGAATAAATGAACTGGTCCTTTGTCCTTGGCGTATTCTTCTACAACAATGAAATATTGATGTCCCTCTCGCGGCTTCCCAGCGCCGCAGTTGGGAATGTGTGAGGGGGGTGGGGTGGGGAGGGTGTGGGAGGGGGAAAGCGAGGATGTGTATGTGAGGAGGGAGGGAGGAGGTAAGGGGGGAGGGAGGGGGGTAGGGGAAAGGGGGGATGTGTATGTGAGGATGGGGGTGGGGAAGGGGTAGGGGGAAAGGGGGGATGTGCATGTGGTGGGGGAAAAGGGGAGAGGAGGAAGAGGAGAGAGGGAGAAGGGAGAAGGTGAGGAGGAGGGAAGAGATGTAGATGGAGAAGGGGGGAGGGAGAGGGAGGAGGGGGGAGGGGAGAAGTCGGAGGGGAGGTGGGTGAGGGAAGGAGGAGGGGAGGGGAGGAGAAGAGGCGGAGAGAGAATGAGAATTGGGGGGGAAGAGGAAGAGGGGAGAGGGAGAGGGGAGGAGAGGAGGGGAAGAGAGGGAGGAGGGAGGAGGAGGAGAAGAGAAAGAAGAGGAGGGGGGATGGGAAAGAAGAAGGAGGGAGAGGGAGGAGGGGTCAATGGAGGAAAGCGGGGTGGGGAGGGGGTTAGGGGGAAAGTGAGGAGTGTATGTGAAGGGAGGGAGGAGGGGGAGGGGGAAATTGTACTGTGAGGGAGGGAGGAGGTGGGGGGAAATGTGTGTGGGGGAGGGATGGGAGGAGGGGTAAAGGGAGGGATGTGTATGTGAGGGAGGGAGGGGGTAGGGGTGGGAAGAGGGGAGGGGGTGGGGAAATGTGTGTTGGGGGGGAGGGGGGAAGGGAGGATGGTGGGTAGGAAGAGGGGAGGTGTGTGTATGTGAGTAAGGAGGGTAAGGGGAAATGTGTGTATGTATTGGGGGGAAGGGGAGGGGATATATGTTGTGGGTGGGGACAATGTGTGTATGTGTTGGGGGCTAGGGGGAATGTGTGTGTTTATGCTGAGAGGGGAATGGGGAATGTGTTGTATGTGTGGAGGGGAATGTGTGCGTATGGAAGGTGTAATGTATGTATGTGTTTGGGGGTGAAGAGGAATGTGGGGCAACGGGGAGAAGTAGGAGGTTTCCGTGTTAGGAGAGGAGTGTGTGTGTGTGGCGTGTGTGTGTGTGTGTGTGTGTGTGTGTGTGTGTGTGTGTGTGTGTGTGTGTGTGTGCGTGTGTGTGTGTGTTGTGTGTGTGTGTTGTGTGTGTGTGTGTGTGTGTGTGTGTGTGTGTGTGTGTGTGTGTGTGTGTGTGTGTGTGTGTGTGTGTGTGTGTGTGTGGTGTGTGTGTGTGTGTTTTATGTGTGTGAGAGAGTGGTGACTGTAAATATAAAGGAGGACTTTTTTCCGATGTCTACTAAGTTATATATTGAACATTATTTTTTTCGTCATCACTTCATTAGGTGATGA